CTATGGTTTCAGAGCTTTTTAATAAGAACTCTTCAAGGCATCATAGAATATCAGGGTTTAGAAGGAGAATGTAAAGGTCTTATTGCTCAAGACGTCTTTCCCCCATTTACTTCCTCCATCTGAAGCTTGAATTTCTCCATTGAATTCCTGCCAAGCCATCATCCAAACTATATTTGATTAACTCCTGTGCCAGGAAATTCTTTGCCTTCTGATGACACCCACATCATCACTGGTCAGTGCTTTCATTTTGTGGAAGAAGCTCCATTTTGGCTTAACTATCCTTGCATTAATGTACTTTAGAGGATACTTTTTTTTTTTTTTTTTTAACACATTCATTGCTTTGGCAGTGCTATGCACAACATACAGCACTCTTTTTATATTGAGAGTAGAATATTTCATTCAGGACTTGCAATATTAGCACAGATATATGTTGGGCCATCATAGTGAGGCAGGAGATAGATGGGCCCCAGTCTGAACAGCTGGAGTTTGTCCCCTGTGGACAGATACTCCAAAATGGCAGGAGGGAGGAGAAGCTAAGCCCTGTCCAGATAAGAGATAAAAGACCACATATTCTTCATTCTCGAAGTCAAGGAGACCTTCCCGACTACACACATGCAGAAGGGCTCCTTGGAGGTCAAAAAGGGAGGGGGCGTCACCTCATAGTAGGTGATGTCAACCTACCCATAGACCTCTTCGCTGGAATCCATCTTGGCTAAGAGATGTGCGCACATGCATGGGAGGATCCTGAGATAAACTAAATATGGACTCAGAACCAGGTAAAGCAAGATGACTGGCCAAAGGAAACCCAGAAGAAATGCCCCATAAAAGTGATTCAAACTACCACAGGGGAGCGACTCTCTCTGAGCCCACCTGTGTGTCTATCCACATATACCCTTTTCCCTCCCAATAAACACTTTACTTGTTTCACTACTTTCCATTTCTCTGTGGAAATTCTTTTCTATACAGCTGACAGGCCAGGGTCTTGTCACTGACCACTGGTCCCTGGTGGTCTAGTGGCTAAGATTCAGTGCTCTCGCTGCCGCAGCCTGACTTTAATCTCTGGCCGGGAACCAAAACCCTGCTTCAAGCCGCTGCAGGCCAAGACCACCCGAGATCAGCAGTGTGGTTCCCATAAACATGTGGGGTCTCACTGGCTGCTCCACTTTCTCTGTGCGTGCTCTTTTTAAAATTGTTTAAATTAAGATAAAATAGATATATATTGAAATGCATAGATCTTAAGATTAGTTTGATCAGTTTTGATGAACGTATTTGCCTATTTAAACCAACCCTACATTAAAGATATCATATATTCCATTATCCCAGAAAGTACCTTGTGCCCCTTTCCAGGCAATCCCCCTCCACAGAGGTAACTACTGTTCTAATATTTCTTATCATAGATTTATTTTTCCTGTTTTTGATCCTCATATAGGTGAAATCATAATACCTTTCCCTGCTTCACCTGGTTACTCAGTTATCTTTCGAGATGGTATCACTTCCTTTACAAAGTCTTAACATCCTACTCTGGGTTAAATGCCCAGATTTGATGCCCCTCTAGCATCCCATACTTAGCACTATCACTATCATAGCATTTACTGCAATGCAATGATGGGTTTCCTTCATGGGCCTGTAAGTTGTTTAAGAGCAAATTTTTTTTTTCTTTTTGTTTTCTTCTTCTGTCAGTGCCCAACATTGTGCCTAGTACAGAGTAAGCAATCAGTAAATATTTTTTGAATAAACAAATAGAATCTGAGTGTGATCTTGAATGAAAGGGACCATGAGAGGCTTATATACTTTTGGTATTAACCTTTGAAATTTTGTGCATTCTGTATTTTAGTATACTTGGAACACATGATGTTTCTAACAAGCTGGGTAGAAATGTTCCTACTGAACGTTGTTCAAAATTTTATTAATTTGAGAGCTTTATGTGTAGAGAAATATTAGCATATTCCTGGCATAAGCGAGCACTACAAACTATTTAATAAACAGTGGCTATGTAATAATTTGTTTGAAATCCCCAGAGCTTACAGCGCAAATTCATTTTATTATATTCCATCCAATGAGAGGTATATTTGAAATGATTGTAGGAATAAACAGAATTTTAAGTAATGTACACAAGTAATAATACACAAAATGAGCTACTTTTCATCCCTTCCTTTGGAGGAGTGATTATTGCTGGTTGAATTTATGATTTCTGACATTTGGTTTTGCTTTCAATTGCAGGTCAGTCTCAAACAGTACTTATAGAGGCTGCCCCCCTGGGTGTCTTAAGAATCATGTGCATACGGATGAATTACGTGAAGTTCAATAAAACGCCTTTCTACCCATCTGCATGCTACTACTCATGCCCATGTTTTTTATTCAGTTGACTCAGAGATCCTTAAAGGCAGGATCTGTTTCTGATTTACCATCATTATTTCCAATGCCTTGCACAATGCCTGATATATAAAATGGACTCCGTAAATGCTCGTTGATTTAAAGTGAACCATTTTTGGAATTGTTCTGGAATGAGAACCAATGTTCACTGGGTGACTTATTCAGTGCTAGCCATGTTCAATATATTTTTCCATTTAAAGCTTGCACAATCTCATGAAGCAGGTATCACTATTGTAGAACTGAGATTTTGAAGCTCAGAGAGGTAAGTAACTTGTCAAAGATGGCTCAGGATCCAGCACACACCAAGAGGAGTACTTCTGGGCTATCTGGGCTGTCATGACGGTTAAATGAGTTAATGAATGGAAAGCACCCAGAATGGTGCCTGGAATGTAATAAGCAATGTAAACATTTTTGCTGTTTCTCAAGGTAGATGATAAAGGAATGTTTATTGATTTTTTTCTTTATGCCACACATAATACAAACTATATTATTATTTAAGAGAAGAAAAAAAACACCCTAATATTTAAGTAGGTTGTTTCTTGACATGTTTGGCATAAAAACTTAAAATGGTACTTTAAGATTTGATTTGGTTTAACCCTGAAGACTATTAGGTCCTTGGTGGGCAGCTTGTTTGCAGTTAGCATCTGTATAACTTTCTTCCAGCCTGGAGTTGGGAACAGTTGTAGCTTGTTGCCCCTGTCAGATTTAATGGGAATTTGCTGAGTTTCCCTGGTGCACCTTCTCCAACACTGAACAGAGAGTTTTACATGAGCATCTTCCATTTTTATCCCTGAGCCACTCGGTGTCAGGTATTCCCTTCAAAGTCTGTAATCATAACCTCATCTGAAAACAGAACAAGGTGGAAGGGGGTGAAGTCCACAATTCTCAAAGGCAGGGCCTTACCATGTGTATAAATTGTTTTGATGTTTCACAGCTGTCTCAAGCATTGAGAAACTTTTTGGGAGAGTCAATGAAAAGTTAGACCTATGTTCAATCACATAAGGTTTCACATTTGTCCCAGTTGTTTGAAGTGCATTAACAGTTTTCTACACCCCCTTTCTCTATTTCAGTGAAGTCTTCTGTGGTTTGTCCATGTCCCCTGGTTTTCTTTGTGTTGAGTTCAGACTCCGGAGGTCTGTCTTTATAGATGAGGAAACTAATAGAGTTGCCTGGAGAGCCTGAACTTTCTACTAATGTATCTTAAGTGTTCTGTAGCAACTCTTGCCACTTTCTAGAACTTTAGAAAAGTTGGAGAGACTTGAGCCACTTGCTCTGGTCCCCACCATTAGGTTCGCTGGTCACACCCGTAAGTAAATAGAAACAGTAGTATCCACCGGTGGTACCTCCCTCTCACCTTGTTGGGAGTTCCCGCCCATCAACTTTTCTCCCAAGATTGCATCCGGCCAATGACCTCACGCATTTTTCCTGTCTCTATGTAAGTTGTTATCTTTTCAGGAGGAGCACGACAGCCTCTGTTTGCTGGGGCCTCCATTTGTACAGAAGCTGTTATTATGGAATAAGTTTAATGGGTCGTGAATTTTGTGGAGACAGGGAGGGTCTCTCCATCACTTTGTACGTACCAGCCATGGGCCTACTGGCTCTACAAGGAGTGCATTAGGCTAAATATTTTTAGCCCAATGACTCTGGAGGTAATAACCCTAAATGCTTCATTAAATTTTCATGGCTGAGTGATGGAAACTACGAGGAAAAACAAACAAACAAACAAACAAAAAACAAAGCCCAAGTCAGCCACATTAGCTTCATTTATTACCCAGCTGGAGAACAGGAGTGTGGCCTTAAAGAGAATAAAAATAAACGTTTTAAGGAACTGTAGCCAGGCTCTTCTTTTCCTTCCCCGCGCCCTGCTTCAACAGCACAGGACTTCACTTGATTTTTTTCCCTCCTACACCTGGCGTTCGGGACTCTGGAGATGGGTGTGCCACGACGGTCTGTTGAATCCAGTCTCAGGGCTGAAGAATTTTCAGACTCACACACTTTTCTGAGATTTGGCGGATCTTTGTAAGCTAGGACCAGAAGTAGGGAGCAACTGACTGCATCCTGGCTGGAGCCTTCTTCTGCGCGTGTCCTAATCTGGGATTGTTTACTCCCGGACATTCTGAGAACCAGAGTTGGGAGGGTGGACGGCAGGGGGAAACTTTGGGGGTTAACTGGGGCCTGAACACCCTCAGGGGCCTGAGTCCCTCCCTAGGACGCACGAAAGAGTGATAGACGCACGCCTCCTCCCTCTCCCAACTTTGCCTGGGAAGCCTCGGTGACGACAGGGGCGCACGAGCCAGGGTTGGCCGCTGGGACCTAGCGCCCCCTCCTGCGAAGGAGAGCGGGGGCTACACGTCGGCGCGGGACCTGCCCTCGAGTTTTCCCGCACTAGCGCTTTTTCCATTTGGGTATGCGCATGTTTAGAGGCCTGGGTGATAAGAGAGTAGACCCTAGAGAAAAATGAGGGAGGCCGGGCGGGGGCGGCTGGTGGCGATGGTGAGTGGCAAAAACAGGGAATACTTTGTGAAAAACCCGAGTCTGGTGGCTTTTACCCCATCTCGCCCTCACTCCCTCCCCGCCCACGCAGCCGGGGCGGAGACCCGGCGCTCTGGTCTCGGCTCTCCTCCACCACGCCGGGATGGGGAGTGAGCGGCAAGGCTCCAGAGGCGCGACTGCGAACCGCGGCGCCCCCGCTCGCTCGCTCGCTAGCTCTTCCTCCTCCTCGTCGCCACCGCGACTCCGCTAAGCTCTCGGAACGCGCTCGGGCGGCGCACAGAGCACCCGGGCGGGAGCGAGAGCCGCGAGGCCGGGGCGACGGGAGCGCGGCGGGCGGCCAGGCGGCGGCGGCGGCCGGGGAGCGGGCAGGTGAGCGGCGCCGCAGGGCGCCGGGCGGGCGAGGGGCTGGCGGGGCGGGGGCGGGGGCGGGGGCGCGGGAGGAGGCGGGTCTGCGCGCGAGGCGGTCTCCTCCCCCTGCTCTGACGCGGAGCCCGTGGCGCCCGGGGAGAATGGACCCAGCTCGGCTCTCGCCCGGGCTTCCCCGGGCTGGAGAGCGCGCCTAAGTGCCGCCGCCCGCCGGGCATGGGGAACCGCTTCCTGGGCGGCTGCGGCAGCGGAGGAGGAAGCTCTCGGCGAGCCTAGGTGAGGCACGGCGGTGGGCTCGCGGCCGCCCCGGAGTTCAGCGCGGGCAGGTGTCGGCGGGTACGCGGCGCCCGGATGCCCGGGTGGCTCCGTCGGGGTCCCCGGGCGCGGAGGAGGGCTCCTGGGGCGTTCCTCTCGGGAGTTTGGCCAGGAGTGCGGCGGGGATGGAGACTGCAGTTTTCCTCCCTGTTTCTCCACTTGCTGGAGAGGATAGGCGCCTCTGCTCCTTCCTTATGGGTCTCCCCATACCACCCCTTATCTCCCTACTTCTGACCACGCGCGGTTCTCTTTCCAGACCTGCTCACCTAATACATTCGTCTCTCTCCGGGACCCCCTGCACCTTCCTCCTTCCTGCGGCACGTCGCTATCCACCCATGAGCCTTCCTTCTCCCACTCCAAAACCTACCTGGTACTCCCGAGCCCTTCCTCAGCCGCGCTGCCGGCGTCCCCAGGTCGGACCCTCTTCCCTGCTCAGCCAAACCCGGTTTTCACTTCCCTACTCCTCGGTAGCGCTGCGGTTCTGCTCCGACCTGCCGAAAAGCGAGATCTATCCCAGTGGCCCCTACCCTTTCGCAAACACCATCAGAGCCGGACCCCGCGTCTCCTCGGAACCCATCTCTTCCCGAGTCCTCCATCTACTCGGTTCTCTGCTGCCGCCCCTTGCATTCCACTCCCCAGCACCACCCCGCGCCGCCCTCCACTCCGATAGCTCTCCTCCCCACCCGCCCCCTCTTGCTTCTCTCTGATCCAGACTTGACGCTCTGCCTCGGCTGCAGAGCCAGGTTTCCCCACCCCCCTACTGGGGAAACTTTAAAATCCATGTGGTTCGGTTCATAAAGGAGCCCTAAAAGCAGGACTCAACCGCCGAGAGAGCCTGGAGCCAGGGAGTCAAGGATGGCGGAGGTTGTGTCGTGGCGTCGGAAAGGAGCTGTAGGCTGAGTATACCAAGTACATTTCAAAACCCTGGTTGCTGCAGCTGGAACTCTCCTCCCGAGGCTGGCTCGTCCCGCGGAGTATTATTGTGACCCCTGGTGGGAGGGCGCGAGTATTTTGTGCACTTTTTTTTTTTTTTGGTACGCGGGCCTCTCACTGTTGTGGCCTCTCCCGTTGCGGAGCACAGGCTCCGGACGCGCAGGCTCAGCGGCCATGGCTCACGGGCCCAGCCGCTCCGCGGCATGTGGGGTCCTCCCGGACCGGGGCACGAACCCGCGTCCCCTGCATCGGCAGGCGGACTCTCAACCCCTGCACCACCAGGGAAACCCTTCTGTGCACTTTTTAAAGCACTTTTTTTTTTTTTTTTTCCTGGTGGTAGTGCTGGTGGACGGGATGAAGGGGGCACGAGGGGAAGGTTTCTTTAAGAGGTTGATGTCACTTGGCTCCTGCGTTGCTCCCTCCCGGACCCGCCAGACTGTGTACGTTTCACTCCCTGTGAACTAACCCCCCCCCCCCCCCCCCCCCCACCGCCCCCCGGCGCCACACAAGTCCTCATTGTTGGGGGTCTGCCTGGGCACTTCCGCCTGGGCTGGGAGAATCTGGAGGAATGGGGTGGGGGGTGGGGAGGCCGGGGGCGCTGGGCGACCGCGGTGTGGCTCTCGCCTTGTGCTCAGCGGCCGCGGACGGAGTGCAGAGCGCCGCGGCGCGGGCATCGGTGAACTCCGGCGCTTGTCTCCCAGGGTGGGGTGCGCGGCTGCGTGGGTCGGCGTCTGCGTGTGCATTTGGATGCCGGCGCACACCTGGGTTTTAGTTCGTTCAGAAAGAGGGGTTAGTAGAGAGGTTGCCGCAGAGAGTGCGTGTTTTGCTGCCCGGAGCTGGGCGGGCGAGTCCTCCGAGAAGGATGCTACACTGCAGCTCCTAACATCCCGGCGGAGACCGGAGCGAGGATCCGCCGATGTCGCTTGTTACTCCCTCCTGCTCCCTTCCTACTGGCCCGTTCAACGCACTTTCAAAATGTTGATGGTTTTGAATAAAGGCCTTGTGGGGGGTCCCGCTGACATTACATCGCACTTCATATGTTTTCTAGTAATCATATAAATTAAAGGTGGCTTGCGTTTAGAACTCCCTAATTAACCGGTTCACGTCTGTACATTTATGTGCCAATTATAGGTCTTCGGGAAATCCATAAAATTATAAACCATCCTCACCCCCTGAATCAGCACCCATTGTTTTTATTATCTCAATGAGTGATTCTGGATGGAACCCTTAATTGCACAGGCAAGATAGAGGAGGAGGGGGAAGTGGAGAGGTTGGGTGGAATAGGGACACTCCACAGCTTCTCCTCAGCCCACCCCCATCTCTTTCAGTCTCCATCCTGACAAGGCTTGGTGACAATTCTGGAATCTGAAAGGGATCACAGATTTTCTTGGTTTCCTATTGAGAAGGGCGACGTAATGAAAACTGTATAAAAGTCAACTTCTAGCAATCAGAAATTGTCTGCTGATGTCCTTGATTGAAATCCCAGCATTCAATTGGAGTACTGAAAACTCGAAGAAATGGCTTTTGAAGCGCTATTGTTCTTTTCCATACAGAGAGGCCTTCTTAAAGGTTTAGGAAGTTCAAAATGCGGTGATTTTAAAGACTGACATTGTAACTATTAGGCAACGGTGAGAGGATCGGATCCGCAGGGATGAGAGAAGAGGGCGAAGTGGGGAGTACAAACGTGTTGTTACTATCTCGCTGCTACCAAGTGGGAATTCAGTTCTCCACATCAAGTTAGCAATTAAATCTCTGACTAAAGCAGATTTAGAAGGTGATTTTTAGGTTTTTTTTCCTCTCCTTTTGGGTGGTGGTTTGCTTAAGGTCTGAATAGGCGTATCTGAAACATTTAATCATGTTCATTGTATTCAACAATAAAATCTGAATAAAAATTGTTTACTGTTGATGAAGCTCATCTCACAAGCTGTTTCACAGTATGTTTCATTTGCAAGACAGACCATTGTGTGAGGCTGCAGGGAAGACATGGTATCACTTCTTGTTCATTTTCTCCCAAAGCCAGAGAGGAATCCTCTGCTCCCACTCCCCTCTGCCGTCCAAGGAATTTTTTCTTAAATGGGTGGGTGTTTGGCTTGGTCCCTGATAGTACCCATCTTAAAAATGGCCTTTGGTGGATTTCGGGTGCCTGAAGCCACCCTGCAGGCAGAGGAAGAATCTAATTGAGGCAGCATTTGCATTTTGATAATTCACTCAAGTCAAACATTTGGTTTTGCTGGGGTTTAATCCTTCTCTCAAGCCAATAAGGCTAACAAAGCAAGAAAATCACACTGTATGTCTGTTAGTTGGCACTTTACAAAGTTGCATAGATTGAAGGCGGCTGTCAGGAACTTTAAGTGTTACTTAGGGCTAACTGTAACAAAAAACGTTCACTGGTTGAGTTAAGTGATTGAGGATGAATCGACCTCTCAGAACCTCAGTTTCATCATTTGCACAACAGGGACAATATTATCTACTCTGTGGAGCTGTGAGCAATCTTATGGGGGAAAATGTCTCATTGGGCGCTTTGGCACTTAGCAGGATTTCAGGAGAATGGTAACTTTTAGTACTAGAGAGCATGGAATTCTGCTAAGGAGAGAGGATGGTATTTGGAATTGGAAGGGCAGGATGGAAACCAGGTACTGGATTGGCAAATCACCTCTCTTAGTATAATAAAAATAGGAATAATTAACCCTTGTGGGGCACTTACTAAGACTCAGACTTAAGCACTTCACATGCATTAACTTATTTAATCCTTCAGTAACCCTAGGAAGTGCATACTTGTATTGTTATTCTCATTCGATTGATAAGGAAAGTGGGGCACCGAGAGAGTTGGTAACTGGCCCAAGGTCATACAGCAACTAATACAATTTAAATCCAAGCTTTCAGTCCTAACGACTACGTTACGTTACCTCTGAGTGGGGAGGTGAGCTCTATCTCCCAGGGTGGTTGTCATGTTTAATGGGGAATAATGGAATAGTTAGACTTCCTGTAGGAGAAAACTACAGGTTGTTGCCAATTTCAGATGCCAACAACATAAGATGGGTACTTCTCTATTACCAGCAGGGCGTTAGGCTGATGGTGGGCATTTTGAACACTTCTGACATCGTGGCAGGTATTGCTTCACATGTGTCTACTGTGTTAGTATATTCAGTAACTGGGTAGGCAGAGATTGCATTACTGCTCTTACTGGTTACCAGTGGAGGAACGCAGAGATTCTCAAAATTAAGAGGTGGTATAACAGGTCTTTAGAAGTCTGGACTTGGGCGCTAGGCTGCCTGGGTTCAGACCTCAGTTCCCCCAGCGCTGCCTGCTGTGTGGCTTTGACCAGCTTATCTAACTTCTCTGTGCTTCAATTTTCTTTATAATAAAAAGCTGCCTGCCACATAAGATTGTTGTGAGAATTATAGGAATTAACACCAAGTGCTTAGAATAGTACCCAGCATGTGATGTTACTTAGCTGTTAATGTTATCCTTCAAAGAAGAGAAAAATCCTTTTCCTTGAAAATAAAAAGTTTTCTGTTCGTCACTGATATCCTAAGACTTAAATATCCTAAGAGTATCTGGCCTGTTGTTTTTTGTTTTGCTTTTTTGTTAACCAGGAGGTAGAGAGGAGGAGAGGTATTGAAGGAGTTCAGGCAAAGGTTTTGTTTTGTGTTTGGCTTATTGGAAATATTTCCTTGAAGGTTTCTCCTCTTTGTGAAGGGAATGGTGAAATCTTCATAATGCTAAGATCTCTATGTCATTGCACTTTTCAGCAG